AGGTTGAACTTCACTAGCTAGCTTGCAGTGATTTGGAATGGGCTTAAAGAATTAAATGATTGTCTTTAATTCCAACTTGGGACCTGCAGAGTTGTTACGGAGCACTCTGTAATCTGGTGTTACTATTAGTTATGATCCATGCACTGTTGCTAATTGTTATCTTGATAATTCCCATCAGTGTGACTTCCTTATCTTCTATTCGTTCGACTGAATCATCAGTGGTTTGTGCTCTATCTTTTCTGACTTCGTTTTTTGATTTCAACTTCTCTTATTTTGTCTGAGTTGTATCCGATTTTTTCCAATGAAGCTTTCGATTCACTTCATTTGCAGTTATTGTAACCTTTTAAAAGGGATTTTATCTGATGGATAAAGTGTGCGTGGGCGATTTTTGCAGTATGTTAAACTAGTCAGGTGACGTATAGGAAAAAAATGGCAGTGTTCATACCGAATCTAGTTACAAATATTTCTCTAACATTCGTTCGCTTATGATCACGCGAGTGTTTGCATTCCCTCACGGTGACTACTAGATGATCTAAATGATTGTTAATCGTCAATCACGTTGCAAATTCCATCATGGTATGTGGGCGGATAGGAGAGCGAGCTGTATGTGAAGTGCATTGAGCATAAATACGTTTGCGGGCACGCTTTAGCCTCATACTTGCCTCAAATCTAGTTTCGAATGGGAGCGTATCGCACCATGCTGCATAATCGTGAAATACAGCACTAAAGCGAACCTCGCATCTGCATGGAATTTCTGACAGTGCTATCGTAAATGCCACTGTTCTAGCTTGTTATGATGTTACGTGCTGCTGCTGCTGAACGTAATGCTAATCCGATTGCTAATGTGTTGAATAGATATTTGCTTGATGATATGAAAGTAAGTCGTTTTGTGTTAAGCTTTGTAAATAAAGGCTTACTTCTCCCTATCGAGGTAAATGTTAATAGTCATTCAGAACTTGTAATGATGTCCTTTTCTTGTCTCATGACTCTGAAGGAAAAAGTGTTGTATTGTCGCTTTGTCGTGTATTACACTTTGTATTTTTTCGCATTAATTTTCCTGACGAAACAATGTTTTTTTTCTGTATCCCTTCACAATAGATGTAGATCATAACAAAAAAAGTTTACCTCCCCTTTTCTGAGCGTCCCTCTAGTAAGCGTAAGTCTCCAGTAGATTTTCTGTCTTACACAAAGACTTCAGTAACTGGTATATACTTAGTCTGTTACTGTTTTTTTTGAGTTAAAGCATTCAGTTGTTGCGTGTTTGTCTACAATCGTTGTGGAGATCCATTTGAGTGAGAGTTCAAAATGAAGCTGATACTAAGAGAAAGTATACTTTCCCTCTAGTCCTCCTGAAAGTTAACGTAGTGCTCTTCTACCCACAAAGGCCAAGAAGTCTGGCGCTTTTTTTCCATAGAAAGTTCCTTGGAATTACCTCCCTTGCGTCAAGGTCATCTATCTGACGTTCTATAATATAAGAAAGAAGTTTACGAAGGTTGTCCAAGCAGTTAAAATCCTTTTCATGAATAAAACTTTTGAACCAATTTCCTAGGACCATCACAATACCATAAATCTTTGTGTAAATCATTATAGCATTACAGCTACTCGAAATTGCTTCTGGAACAGGTCAACATGTGATAAAATTTGCTGAAAAATTCCCTGGTGTTACTTTTCAACCGTCGGAAATTGATGCTCGATCTCTCCACAGTATTGTTGCTTATATTGATCATTATAGAGTAAGTTTTTTTCTCTGTTTAAATTCTAGTCAGCTTTCAAAGACTCCCGTCCCATTAAAGTGAAAAAGAAGCCAATCTTTTGTAGCCTATTTGGAAAGTTTTTTCCAAGAGCAAAATTAGACTTATTAGGTTTATAACTTTATAAGTAATTGAGGGAAGACCAGATTACCTAGACTACTTAGTGAAAACTCAAAACAAAGTCAAAGCTCAACTAAATAGACACACTTAAGCTTGGAAATGTTCGAGTCCCGCTGTTCATTGATGTGACAAAACCAGTTAATCATTGGGCGCTACCTGGAGATTATGGTCCCCGAGCGGTGGATGTTATCCTCAGTATTAACATGATCCATATTAGCTGTGATGCTGCAGTTGAAGGCCTATTCAAGGTGAGTTTGTGGCTTTTTTATAGCAAATGTTTCTGTTTACTAATAAGATTCCAACTGTTTAGGCCGCAAGCGTTTTGCTAAAACGAGGTAGTGGTTTGCTTATTACGTATGGCCCTTACGCAATTGATGGTGTCATTTCTCCACAAAGCAACATTGATTTTGATGCTAGATTACGGAGTCAGCATCCAGAATGGGGATTACGAGACACTGGATACTTAACTAGGGTATAGTCTGGTGAAGCATCTCCTTGCTGAACGGAACAACGTTATTTTCAGTTAGCATCGAACTGTGGATTGACAATGATAGCTCGACACGATATGCCAGCGAACAATCATATGCTGATATTCAGTAGAGATTTACACGACCACAGCCCTTAGCCATTCATCTTTTTATCTGGATTGATTGGAGTGCTCTCAGTTCGATATACTGCATTCCATGTAGGGTCCACTTTCAGCAGATAAAATTTACAATTTTCCCTTCATTTTATTAGTAAATGAAAAGCACATGAATAGTAATGCTGACACGCACACGATAAAAAGACTAGAAAATATGAAAATTCGAGATTGGAGATAGAGATGAGAATACACGTTTTTTTTTGTAATGTGACGAGATAGCAAATGATGCTCAATGATTCGTCAAACCCGTTCAAATTCGATGTTTACATTTTCTTCTGAAGTGTGGGCATCATCGTAATCACTCTCGTACTCGGCATTGTTTAGAATGTTGTTCTTTGACTTGCGAGATATATGTTCATGCTGAAGGTCGTTATTGCGAATGAACTGCACTTCTTTATGATCCGACAGTGAATTGAATTCAAATGGGGTTAAATGGACGGCCGCTTCTGGATCCTGAAAATACAGTGTATGTACCATCAGCTTCACAAAACAAAAGTTCATTTCAGTGGTTAGATATGATTTATGAATTGAAACAAAAAGTTGCGCAATTTTATCTTGTAGCAAGGTCTGTAAGAAGACAGTTCAACCAAACTAAATCAATGTCTTTCATTATTGTCCATATTCTTATTAAATACGATAACAGTACATATATGGTGCCGCTTAAAACAAAGAAAAAAAGGTATAAGACACCTACCACAGGTGCAGATCGGTTCATAAAAATTGCCAGCCGATGTTCGAAGAGCTGCAAAGCGTAGTCATAGAGCTGTATGTCCAACTCATTATGTTCTCGAATAATTCTCAGCTGGTCGGGAGTAACGTCCGTATCATTGGACTTACTTCTGTTCCATGCTGATAGTCTTTTGTTAAAGCTGGAAAGTAATACTAGTAAATTCAAGTGAAGATAAGATAGAAGTGTAAAGAACTCAAAATTTCTGGATACGTTTAGATGAAAGCGGTACATGTGTAGTAGTGGTATCGTAATTAAAACAGAACTGCATGTGCAATATACCTGAGATTGAATAAGCGTTCGAACATTACTTGACTATCGTCCATTCGTTCCTTTATTCCAAAAAAAGCCATATTTCTAGATAAAAATACGTCAAGTTCAAATTTTAGCATTCTTTATTCATCAAATACCTCAAGTTGTTCTTAGCACTCTCTAAAAGTATACGATCCCTTGTTCTAGGATCCATTCCATTTCTTGCATAGCAGTTCACAAGCGTCAAATCAGCCAACATTCTCGTTTGCCTATAGTAAACTTCTGATCTATGCGTAGGGGAGGAGAGGAAAGGGTGGAGTCGCACATCCAGTTCCTTCTCATTT